CCTGTGCTCCCCTGCCTCTCTATCCGCTGTCTCATAACGCCATAAAATACACCCCTACATCAACGCCGCTCACAACAGAGCAGGCGCGCCCGCTCACACCAGCTATTGTCAACGCAACCACCCACCTGCGTGGCGGCACACCCACACACACACACACACACACACACACACACACACACACACACACACACACACACACACACACACGACACACACCTTTCTCCAGCAAACAGGGGGAGTGGCTATCAACGGAAAAACAGTGGAAGATGTATGTACGTGTGGGCGGGTTAGTCGCGCCCTATTGACCAAAGGAGGGCCCTGTAGGCAGGAGAGGCGCATACAGAGGCCAAGGCTTCCCGCCCTCCTCTCTCTTTCTTTCTCTTATTTGAAAGCTGGTTCGATTCAGGTGTCTTGGGGGTGCTTACTTTGCGCAACGACGTCAGTGCCAGGTCGATCTTGCCAAGGATCAGCGACTCGGTGGTGCGCTGAAGGGTTTCTTCTGCGCCTGCCAATTCCCACTCCAGAACACGGAGTTTCTCCTTGAGCAATCGCGCGGGAAGGAGGACCTCCTCAACAGGATCCTGCTGAAGAGCCCCTCCAGGAGGGCTGCTTTAGGGCGTTGTTAGGGGGTATTCCACGAGCTGGACAGACACCTGCGCGCAGCGCGCAGGTGTCTGTCCAGCTCGTGCGTGGGCGGGATGGCATCGAGGGACGGGGGCCCCGGGGAGCCGTCCGTGTTGCGCGTGAGGGATCTTTCCAGTTGGTGATGATGGAAGTGCCCACTACACAGAATCCAACTGCGGAAAATGCCTCTCTTAAGGGCCCCAACTTCGCCCTGGAAGGGTAGCCGCAGCAGCACGGGGAGAAGACACACGCGCGAAAAGTACACATCCGTCGGGGAGAGCGACTCGTGCACATCCACCTCCCCAAAACTGCCATTTCTGGGCCGCGTAGGCCTCATTCCCTCGACTTAGTGGAGCCGCAACACTACGAGAATCCGTGCGAACTGGAAGAGCGCAGAGAGAGGGTGCTCATGGTTCCGCGGGAGAGCCTTAAGGGGTCTCCTTTGGTCTGAAAGCCGCGATCGCAGCCTTCAGATACCCTAGAGATGCAAATGCCCTAGGAAGACAGTTTTCTATCCACACAAGTGCGAGCCGAGCGCTGTGTGAGCTCTCCGAAACCTAGGGAGATAAACAAAAGCGGCGGTAATCCGCCGCACTCATATGCTTATTTCACGGACACCTTTGCAAGTAAATAAAGTAGACCATTATACATGGCATTTAATTGGTCTTTCACAGCTCCATAGAAGCAAGTTCCTCCCCCATTGCAGAGAAATGCTGTGCGCGAGGGGGGCCCCCGGGCCCGGGGGCCCCCCTCGCGCACAGCTTCCCTCACACGCGGCTTTTTGGAGGACGTAGCAGGAGTGACCTCCAGATAGATGTTCCCTCAAGGAAGCGCGCTTCGCCACTTTTAGCGCTGAGCTTTCGTGCAGTCGACGCGACGCTCTTGTCTTCTCAAGTGTATGTACGCGCTGTGCGCGGACGGAGCTGGGGACGGAAGGGAGGGGCTCCCACTCGATGCCACGTGGCGTGCTTGTGCATTTTTCGCGCTAAGGCCTCCTCGATGACTGGGAACGCCCCAAGGCACAGGCGTCTCTAAGGTCACTGAGGCACCCCCTGAGCCCGCCTTAAGGGCTGGTGAGGCAAGGTACACACACACTAAGGCCCCCTCCTCACCAAAACGCAGACGCCAGCTGCCCAGTGCCTGCCTCGCAGGGCGAGGGTGGCTGGCCTCATGGGAAGCCTTGGCTCCTCGCGCAAGGGCCTCCTCAAGGGCCTCCTCGGGGGCTTCCAAAGGCCCTCAGAAGGTGTGCTCAGACACCCCGAACGAGGGGGCCCCCTCAGTGGCGTCCCTTCACCACTCCAGAGGGGCCCCTTATCCACAACCAGCGCAGGTGAGGCCGCCTGGGAAACCCCTGCCGAGGCGCGTCCTCTCGGGCGCATGCAGCCTCTCGCAGCCATGCCTTCCTGTCACGCTTCTCGGCATGCGCTTTCGTGGGGAACACCAACAGTCTCGAGGAGGGCACTCAATGCCCTCAGTCATTCTGGCAACAGGGACCGCCCTCCTCGCATCTACTATACCACGCAAACAACGCTCACGGAAAATGACTCACTCTCCGAACTTGAGAAGGCGCTGACCCCTGGTAAAGTTTCAAACCCTTTGCCGTTCGAATACTTTGCCGTTCAACTTCTTTGCCGTTCAACTTCTTTGCCATTCAACTTCTTTGCCATTCAACTTCTTTGCCATTCAACTTCTTTGCCATTCAAATTCGCTCTCCAATGATGCCCCCAGGTGTGCATCGTCTGGACGTTTCTTCAGGCGGCTGGTGGCGGCATCGGGGACTGCGCCAACTGGCGCTCATGTGTACTGCCGGATTGGGGTGTATATACGCCACCGTCTACCTGTTCGTTTTTAGGCCCCTCAGGAAGCAGAGGAAAGAGGGACGCCCAGCAGTTCTTAGTCCGCCGCTTGTTTCGGTGAGAGGCGAACCCACAGACGAGATAGAACCGCCTTGCGCCTGAGGCAAAGCCCTACCTAGCGCATGCATGAGCTGTGAGCAGCTAGTTTAAGAGGGGCAGGACCTTTCACGCCCTCGCCGTCATTGTGATACGTTGTACGAGGGATAAAAGAAAAGCCTTCCGCTGCTTTCTGGCGTCTATCTGTGCAGCTGTGGGGGGCCGAGTGCCTTACCCACGTGGGGCCTTATCTGCTTCCGGAGATTCTGGCTGCCCGTATTGAGCCATGCCCCCTCAAGCACCTGCAAGAGCAGCAGCGCAGTGGCTTGCCCCTGCTGCAGGAGGAGCAAACACAGGCTCTGGCAGGTACGACGGGAGGGTCTTGAGAGAGGGTACTGTGGGGGGAGGGGGGAAATCGTCCGTCGTTGTTTTGGGGGGCCTCTTGCGCGAGTCTCGCGCCCTTCTTTCGTCCTATCCGCTTGCACCCGAGAGTCAGACGAAAAAAAGGAGACCGCAAAAGCCTGCCTGATTGAGATCTGGGGTTCTCTGCCGAGACGCTGCTGGCGCCAACGGCAGCCTCAGTGAAACGTTTGATCAGAGTCTGACTTCCTCTTGTGCATCTCTCAGTGGTGCCTTTTGCTGCGGTTTTTTCTCACGCTGCTTTTCGCGTGAGGCAAGGAGAGAAGCGTTCTTTGTGCTGACTGCTCTCCCCCGTCGTCTCGCGTTTAGCAAGGAGGGGAGGGTTCTTTGTGCTGCTTTGCATGGAAGGGGCCTTTCTGCGAGAGGCTACCGTTCTGCATGCAGCTCTAGAGGCCTTGACACGCCACCCTCACGCGAGACGCCAGGTGGCTGCGGCGTACGCAGGCGCTCAGGGGCTTGCCTCTGTCCATGGTGGCTCTCTCCTGCACCTCCTGCTTAGGGAGCTCGTTGAGCAGGCAGCGGTGCAGCCTGTTCAGCCCGCAGCGCCTCAGGCGGCTTCGGCTGCCGAAGACGCGAGCAGCACAGACCCTCAAACACCCCCCACAGAGCGAGTACAGATGCCGCTAGGAGAGGGGGGGGCAGCAGCACCAGCAGCGGCTGCAAGGATCGGCATTGGTGCGTCCACAGAAGACGACGCGGGTACACCAAATGCAACTGAGACCGCAGAGCAGCAGCAGCAGCAGCACATTAGTGGTCGGTACAGCCCGTCACAGTGGAGTTCTTTGCTGCGCCTCGTTTTTCGGTTGTTGCGGATCACCCCTCCCGAGGTTTGCAGCTCCCTCGCTGCTGCTTCCAGCCAGTGCTTGCTGCTGCTGCTGCTGTTGTGGCTGTGGCTGCCGCTTCTCTACTGTGCGGTGCTCCCTTGCTTCGTCCTACTTGGAGCGCACCCGTCGTCGACTGCTCGGCGCGAAAAGGCTTGACTGCTTTTGCTTCAGGGGCGTGCTGTCGAATACGATGATTTGGCATCCCTCGTGAAGTCTAACAGCTCCCTTTGGGACCGCCACCCTTTGTACCATGAAGCGCGAGCTCTGCTGCTCTATCGGCTGCTACAGGTGAAGGGCTTGCTCTGTCTCTGTCTGTCCGTGTCCGTCTCCTCCCTGTCGCTCTCTTTGCGAGCTCACTTGCGCGGCTTACTATTACGTGCACTGTGCAAGGCCCTGCCTCCTCCATGCATCCTACGCAAGCGTCCTCTTTAACGCATTTTTTGCTCACCCCTTTTTCCAGGCGTGTGATTTTGCGCGCTTTTGTATCGACCGTCTCCAGCACACTGGTATTCCATTGGGCCCAGAGAGGATCGCGATGGCTGTCCCTTCGTCCGTGCGCGTTGTGCATCAGTGCGAATCCAACTGCAGGGGTGTGCTGATAAATGAGCGCCTCTTGGACCAAGGCCAGAAACAAGAACCCGCCGAAGCGCAGGCCCCAACACAAGGCGAAAAGCATGCAGCCGGCGTTCTCGACTACCTAACGACACCGACCTCCGTGTACAGAAGCTCGCGCTGGCTTGCGCAGATTGGGGTGAGTTGCCACACGCTAGGCGTTTAATGCAAAATGTCGCTGCCTGCGAACGAAGAGGGAGCCACAGACAGCACTTTCGACGCCCTTAGGACCCGACGTAGGACGTCGGTGTCTCTGTCAACGGGAGGCGGGGGGGGGGACTATACAGCACGCACTACTCCAAGTGCATCTGATCAGCCGCTCGCCGCAGTGTGTCCAAGACAAGGGTGATGGCTGCCTCCTGCTTTGTGCGGTGGCAACAGGGGGCACTCGCGAGGCTGTGGAGCGCAGAAGTCGGAGACTTAAAGTACAAGGCGTTGATGCTGATACAGCGCGCTGCCTGTCCTGCGGATGTCGTCAGTAAGCGACCATCAGGCGTATGCAGCACGGTGTGTACTCGATCTTCTTCTGGATGCTGCAGCAGCCATCCGGCGCAGGGGTGTCTTCACGCGTAGTGTTTGCGCGCTTCAGCGCCTTGGTGCAACTCGCGGCGTGGCGTCCACTGGCTGTGTACTCAGAGCTGCAGGCCTCAGGCATCTGTGACGGGAAGTCTCCCCCGCCTAGAGAGACGCCTTCCCTGAAGATTAAGGAAACCTTACAGCGAACAGTTTCCGCAGCTGGGGTTGTCCTCTGCACTTCCTTCTGCAGCGCACTTTGGCGCATGGAGACGGTGGAACTCACAATTGCTAACGTCGGGAGGGTCCGTAGGCTACTTACTGTAACCCCAGCAAGCCTGTAGGCGTGCCTCTGAGGTGTGCATCCACCTCGGCGCAGTTTTTGCTCTAGCGGGAGTCGCTGTTGAGGCCTGGGATACACAGGGATACAATACACCTTGGGGAGAGAACATAGGAAACGCGAGACAATTGCCCTGTGGCGCTATTTGGTTTTCCCCTGCACATTAGGTTGGCTTGGCTGCACTGAGAGGCCTCAGGGGTCTCTGCGTTCTCGAAGCGATCTACTTGGCAGAGGACAGCGTCATTCAAAGCCCACAGTATTTTCGTCAGGAAGGCTTCATGGTGCGTGGAGCAGGGTGCAAGCATTATCCCCTTGGGAACTCGCCGACTAGAGTCAGTAGACATCCAGCGACTAGCTGGATTCTCGGAGGCCCCGCAGCAACAAGTCCGGGTATTCTCACAAGGCCTTGAGAGTTAGCTTCAGACTCAAGATAGGTATCTAGATCTTCGCATGACGTTGCCCCTTTAATTTGGTGTGGGGTGTTTTGTGCGGCAGTGGCCAGTGAGTCTGGGGATGGTCCTGTTGAATGGCTTCACGGTGGCGTTTATTATGAAGACGCACAAATACGGTGAGGAGAAGCAGAGGCGTCCTTTGTACGCAGCAGCTGAGTTGTGCTAACTAAACTTACTCTTAGTGCTCTGACGCATGGGTGCCTCTGCTTGCTTTCGCTGTGTGAAGGCTTACAATGGCTGCTCTGTTGTGGTGCGCCTCAGCTTTGTTACCCTTCCTGTTGCTAAGGCTGCGGGACGCAGTCGATGAGGCTTACGCCTTTTAAGCGATTGCGTATGCAGAGGGCTGCGGGTTGTAATGTAGCGTTGCTGCATTACAGCCCCTTTCAATCCATCGTGGGGTGTATCTACCGCCTTTTCAAGCAAACAATGGGATGTTCCTTGTGCGCATATGGCTGTGTGATATATATATATTTACCTATGCATGCATACATCTGCCTCCGTGTGCGCATAGTTAAGTAGGTCCTCTTAGCAATGCAAAGGAAAATACAATAGAGGGCGTGCGAGGTATATGTAGATCCATCCGCCCAGAAGGATCTATTTCTGGGGGCTACTCTTTGAGGCCTCAGCGGTAGCCCCATGTAAATAAGCACCTTAGCCTTCTAGATTGGAGTTGTTAGGTGTTATAACTACTTCTCTGAGGGCGGCCAGGTGCTGGCGCAGCGTGTATTTAGCTTGTTGCAGCAACAGCATCGAATGCAACTGCTGCAACTTCCCTTCCATCAGCACCTGTTTGTATGGGAAGATTCGCTGCTTTTCTAGCCGGTGATCAGACACGCGGCCATCCCGCGCATTATATGTGCGAATCTTCTCGTGTCGCTGCCCGCCTGATACCTGAGCCGAACAGGCAGAGCAAACTCACCCAATAACACGATGAGCAGCATCAAGAAAAAAGACAAGGCCTTTCTCTCTGGATATCACAGGAGCGTTAGCGATCATCGCATAAGGAATATTTCAATCTCAATGAAACTTTGTGTGCTGGGCGGCGATCAACAAATCGGCCCGATGGCGCACGCAAGCCTTGTCTACGGAAAAAGACCCCCTAGATAGGCGCACAGCGGGGATTGCTGTCCCAACGACCCTACGGCGTTCTACGGACGAAAAGGTGTAGGCTAGAGGAAATACGGAAGACGCTCCCGAGGAGTCTCCCTTCCCCCCCGCACAACCGCCCAGCACACATAGTCGGCCTACAAATGACAGAATCAATAAACTCGTTCCTACCTGTTTCAGGCGTTCCTCCCGCAATTGCTGCTGCTGTTCGATGTCCTGCCGCTGTTGCAGCTTCTTCTTGAGAATCCCAAGGGCGAGCTGCACAGATACCCCTCCCCCACTTCCCGTCAAATGCCTCTTCCCCGATAGCCTTAAAATTTGCGGCAACAGCATTTGCTGCACCAGTGTCGTCGCGTGTGAGAATGCCGATACGGCCGCATGCTCGTAGGCGCTGCTTGTACCATTCTTTAGCACGCAAACTAGTGGGGCTTTCATTCGTAACGGGGCTAGCGGCCGTGGAAGCAGTGCGTGCCTCCGCGTGTCTAGGCAGCAGCCATAATATAATACAGCGAGCAGAGAAAGCGCGGGCAGGGAACAGAGTTTCCTTACCCGTTTATTTTGCACTTGAGTCCTTTCCTGCTGAGAGAACACGCGAATCCCGGTAGGCAGATGCACCAAGTCGACAGCCGTTTCCACCTGCACCCCGGCAAGCGCACAGGGCAGCCGCACTGGGCTTGCCATAAGGTGCGCGGTGAGGGGGGAAACCCTGTGCGCCTTGGAGGGAGCACAACACTTTAGTTCGTAGCTCTAAGATTGAAAAAGCTCGGTATGACAGAGAGAGGCGAGGGGCCTGCGAGGGACGTTGCATGTAGGAGACCTACCTTATTGACGTTTTGTCCGCCCGCGCCAGAGGCTCGCGCTGTGCGAATTTGAATTTCCTTTTCGTCAATCACAATATCCTTGGCTCTCTGCGTCGGAAGGCACACCCATGGCGCCAGACGCCGAAGCAGAAATAGGCCTCTGCATGCCCTGCAAAGCGAGATGCAGCGGCCGAGGCTTATCGTTACGCGTGCACATCCCCCTCCCAGCCAACCCTGCGTCTTGGTACAATCCCCCCCCTCCTCCTGCACACTGCAGGTCTGCGTGTGCGTGTTTCTTGGCTTACCTGCTCCTTCAGGATGGCGACGGTGGCAGTCGAGGTGTGCATCCTGCCCTGCGGCAGGGGCGCTCACAAAGAGCCTCGCGAAGCCGCCGCATTGTAATACGGAGGGAGCACAGCTATAGAGATGGACAAATACATATGCAGCAACACGCTTTGACAGCGATAGAAAGATAGTGGGGAGCAGGGCACGCAGGCCAACTGCCCTTGATGGCTCAAACCTGCCTGCCACCGCGCTGCACGTATATAGATATATGAATAGAGGTATATGCATGTATGCCGCACGCTAGAAAGGACCTCGAGAGCACTTAGCTTGCGCCTTGTCAAAGCGCGAGCACATTTACGGAAAAGAGGACGTCCAGACGGACTTGCGCTTCGGTGCGCGGTACGCGCTGCACGCGATGAACCCCGGATTCCAGCAAAAGGTATCGGAGACATCTTGGGCCCCTAACAGTCATTTCCAGGGGGCCCTCCTCCCGCATGCGCCAGTTCCGTTGTTCGCAGTACAGCTGCAGCATCTGAGGCCTCAGTCACAACGGCAAAAAACTCGCACTGTCAATCCGGCGTAAAGCCAGAACCCTCCTCCCCGCTAGACGGCAGAGACAGCGCATGAAAGCTCGCAGTCGCGCTTGACAGGGTGACTCAGAGAGAGTGCGAATGAGGACGCAGCCTTAGCGCCCTCCAAAGACCCTCATGGCACTGAGGAGGAGAAGGGCTTCCCATACAGAAAAGCGTTTAATGAAAAGAGGGTACATATCCCCTCTTAAGGCTTGCCCCCTCTACAGCCGATCTTCAAAGGTCTGTCCTGACGTACCTTGTACAAGTCGCTTGCCCAGATTTCTGCCTCACTTCCCCCTGCGGCAGCTCGAACTTCGGCAACGGCGTAATCCTCATCTCCCTCCGCCGCCTCCCCCCAAAGGGCCTCATCCTGAACAAACCCAGCGACAAGCAAACATCATCACCAGCAGCAGCAGCAGCAGAAACAGAGGCAGAGGAGGATAAATAGACGAGGAGGCGCGGGGACCTGCTTAGTTCCAGCAGCGTCTGCTGCCGACAATGCGTCAAGCACGGGGAGCATTTACGTATAAAATTTCTTGGAGCACTGAATATGTACGTCTGTATGTCTTTCAATAGACATAAAATATTTACATAAACATTTTATAGCATTGTCAAGAGTCAATATTTGGTTATACAGCCAATATCTGTACTAGAAATTTCAGATCATTTGATCAATAAGATATATAGCTATGTTGAGTCAAATGCTTTGCCCCAACAAGTACTTTTTCTATAAACACAAGGGCCGTTTGCAGCGACCAAAGGACGGTGGTATATAAAGGGGCAGCAGCAGGAGAATTCCGTGGATACACCAAATGCAGGCGCACGGAAGCATAAACGAAAACGGACTGTGGAGCCCTTCAAGCACACTTTGCATGAGAAAGGGCCGAGGGGAAGCCGGCTTAAGAAGAGGAGTTGGACGCACCACCGCTTCGCCTTCGATTTGCTGCAAGTGATGCTCAATGTCACGCAGCTCCTCTTTCGCAACTGTTACCTCCTCCTTCTCGTCCTCTCCGTGCGGCAGCGAAAGAAAGGAGACAAGCCCTTCTTTCCGCTGCTGCTGCATCTGCCACGAATCCAGCAATCCCGCCAGATTCCGCAGCTGCGGAACCCCCTTGCGGGCAGCTCCCCCCTTCGAGTCTGCCCAAGCGCAGACCTCCTCGGGGAGGCTCCTCAACAGGAGGGACGCCTCTTGGGCAAGGGGAAAAATCTCTTCAAATCCCTCAACGCAGCCACGTCCGCGGCAGCCGGAAGCGACAGCACTCGCAGCAGCTCCAGCCGGGGAGGAGGTGCAAGGAGGGACCGCAGAGCGAATGCCTCTAAGAGGTCTCCCCACAGGACCTTCCCCAGGAAGTGCTGGAGCAGCAGGGGTAGTGTGAAGGTTCCATAGGTGCAAGGGAGTGCGGCTGCCGACACAGGAGAGGAAGGCGGAAACTCTGCAGGGGACGCCTTTTAGAGTTGGGAGCTCCTGAAACTGCAGCGGAGACCCCTGAAGCAACTGAACGAGCAGAAAGAGAGACGTTACAGGCAGCAGGAGGGTGAAGATGGTCGGCTGGGGAAAATTGCGAAAACACATAGCCCTAAGAGGACACGCACGCAGCGCAGCAGCAGCGGCTGCTACACCTTCTGCTGCAAATCTGTCGCTGAAGCGACTCCAGCACCCGCTGTTATTGTATTTTGCAGTGAGCCTTGCTGCTAGGAGCCTTCCTGCAGCAACTGCTGCAGGACTGCCACAGAGGCGCGCGATGTTGTGGGCCTTCCTAAACAAGCGACTGTCTGGACACCGCGGTACTTCTAGAGCACCAGAATGCGCACGATTTCTCTTCGATTGCAACACACAAATCCGTTTTCAAGAAGCACTTTGTCCGCGAACGAGGGTTGTCGTCGATCCTTGAGGGAGGCCCCCCGATCCCGTCACCGGAGGGGCCCCCAGACAGAGGGGGCCCACGAAACTCCTGGGGAACGAGCTACCCAACAACCTGCATAGCGGGTGTCTGACTCCACAAGAAGGTGTTTTTGTGGCGAAGCTTTAGAGTTAGAGCCTTTGGGCTTGATGAGGAGGCGGTGAGGCGGCACTTCTCCCCCTTCTGTGGGCCTGTTTTCCGTCGAGAACTTCTACACCGCGGCGGATAAAGTTTCCTGCTTTTTCTTGCCTGTTAGCTATTCGAACTCCGCGTCTTCGGGGCTCTACAGGCGTCCGCAACTCTGCGTGTGGTCTTGCAGCAGCATCCTCGCCAGCAGCAGTTGCTTTGTGCTGCCGCTCTCTCTCTCTTTCTCTCGACGGCTTCGCAGATCCTGTCGTGAAGCGTCTCGTGGATTCTCGCCAGAGGGCTCTCGATGCCCTCCTTTCCTGGCGCTCCTCCATGCAACAGCGCAACAGCACGCGACTTGGGGCTGAAGGCATCAAGCGGCCGCCTAGGAAATCGTCTTTTCCTTCCCTCATGACGCTGCTGCTGCTGCTCTTCTTGTCGCTTGTTGCGCTCCTCGCTTCCGCGGCAGAGGGAGCACCTCTGGGCTCCCAGCCTAGCGAAGGCATGTCGTGCAGTTGCAACTGCTGATGTGCAGCGACTGCTGTGCTTCTCCTTTCTTTGCTCTAACAATTCTGCGTCCTCCTTTGCTGCCAACCGAGGCGAGGCAGGCGGAAGCGCCATCAGCAGCAACAGGGCCCGCGGACGTTTTTGGCAAGCGAGATGCATGCAGTGACGGAGGCTTTTGCGTGTTTTCTGCGTGTGCAATTCTGCAGGAAGCAGCAGCAGCACCCCACACCCATCGCCGGCGCGGCAGCAGAAGCTCTCAGATGCGTTGGATATCAAGTACGCTCGAAACACGAAAATCCCAGCATACTGGGGGGAGGGAGGAGGGAGAGAGGGAAGGAGGGGTTGTTGTTTTCTGTCCACCGGCTCCTGCCCACGCACATCCATAGCAGGCGAACACGGGGTGGGGTCAGAGCTTCTGGCGTTTTTTTTGCGGCAACTCCCTGTCTTAGGTTTGGCGAGCGAGGGCAACAGCGCGATCCACACAAGGCAGTAGCCATGCTGGAAGACCTTGTTGTACGTCTGGTTATTGATTCCCTCGCGGGAGGAAAGGCCGTTTTCGCGGCTTTTCGCAGACACTTCGGAGAGCGTTTCGCCCCTGAGACACGCAAGCCCCCGAAAGAGATCATGATTCGGTTGCGGTTCGTCCGCGCTTGTTAAATGTGGCTCTCTAAATTTGCTGCAGAAGGAGATTTCGACGGACTCAGTGGCAGCGCAGGCTCTATGCGAGCTAGGCGACTTGCATTTATCAGGTACTGCAAGCCACCACTGGCCCCTCACGGGGAGGAGGCGTCGGGCAGCTGAGGGGCTTCCTTTTGCCGCCACCCTCTGAGATCTTGCAGTCTTGCGCGCGTTCAGTAAACTCACCTTTGCATGTTTCCGACGGCTCGCGCGTCCTCAGTTGTTCTCTCTGCGTCTCGCTGTGGTGGTCTTGATCGCTCAACGCTGCCTGCCCCTGTTGCTCCCGATGATACGCAGGTATCCCCAGCCGACTGGCCCTCCGTCGTGACACTGCTGCCGCCGTGCGGTACTTTGCTGCCTCTGCCGCTCTAGGCTATGGCCCTGCATTGCACGCGCTAGGCTTCGCTCACGCTACAGGTGTCGGGGGTGTGCAGGTGCGTGTGTCAATCTGGATGGTGCGGCAAACCGCCACAGTGCGATGCAGCCCAAAGAGCTGCGCTCTTCCAGAGTTTCCTGCTAGAGGCAAACAGCTGGTGTCTGTTCTCCCCAAGAGAGCACTTCTGCCTGCCTGCGAGTATATCGCCTTCCTGCTGCTGCTGCTCCTCCCACTTGCGCGGCGGCACCCTTCTCCGCCCAGAAGGCGACTCGCTGCCGCTGCTGCTGGAGTCTTTTGGCACGCTGCGGCGCTTCGTGGCCTTTGCTGCCTCTGTCGCTGCAGCGCAATGACAAAGTGGCAACGCAGCTGCAGCTCCTGGGGGCCCTCACCGGTTACGTTCCTTCCCTCCAATCCACCGCCTTCCGGTGAGCTGCCGCTGCGGCGCCTGCTGCCCGTGCAGGCCTCCTAAGACGTCAAGTTGCCGCGTTGGCGCATGAGCCATGCAGGGGTTTTTCTACCCCCGATGCCTATCGCTGCAGACCCTAGACGCTTTTCTGCGAGAGGCATTTCGGGATGCCATCTGTCCGGGTTGTTGCTTGCCACTCTGCCAGCGTCCGCTCGAGCAGCGGCTGGCAGACTTGGTCGCCGACGTTTCCCCATGGCGCGCGTTCGCTTCGAAGCCGCGATGTTCAGTGCTGTGCTGCACTGTCGCTGCAGTTTACTCTTTGGAGACGGCGTTCAACCAGACTGCTGGGCGGCTCTCAGCCTCTACAAAGTACGCACTGCCGCCCGGGGTCTTCCTTATTGGGGCTTTCTTTCTCACGCCTTACGCAAACCTCCGATGAGGGGATTGTAGAGCTGCTGCCTGTCGAGCTGCTGCCTCCTCCGCCGTTGCATAGCAGCTGCGGGGCCTCGTTGGCGGGGACTGCGGCACACGGATTTTTGCAAGGCGGATGCTGCAATTCCGCCCGGCACTTCGAATGCAGGCGGCGCCTGCCTACGCTACCCTACGTGTCTGTTGCGCTTCAGCAAGTGGCTGAGACCGTTGGAGAGCAACAGCTGCGCAACCCTCTGATTCCTTTGCTGCCGCTCCCGCCCTCCGTCCGCTTTTCCGAGCACACCAAGACGGAGAGGCGAGAACAACAAAACGCTCAAAGACAGCAGGTGACCTTGCACGCTTCGGGTTCCTCTCGAGTCACCAAACTCGCTTGTAGCGCCTTCGTGCTCCTAAATAACGGAGACTGGGGGCCCCTTCGCCGTGGACACCCCCGCCCTGGGCGGATAAGCGGCATGCAGACATGTTAATAAGAGCGTCACGGGATGCCTCTCGGGGATCTGAAAAACAGCATCTTGACACTGGGGGTCGCAGCGGCTCTCTCTCTTTCTCTCTCTCTATATATATGTAAATATATGTGTGTGTGGATTGCTATGCGGCGCAGGATGACGTCCTGCAATACTGGGAGGCGCAAGCTAAGAATGACGACCCCGTGGCATCCTATGAGCTTGCAAAGCTCCTCGAGCAGCAGCAACAACAGGAGCAGCAGCAGAGTCCTGCTGACGACGCCAGAAAGCGGTGAGCTTCCTGGCTGCTCGCAGACACTAGTTAGGAAACAGAAAGCTGTAGAGGCATGTGATGGCCGAGGGCGATATCAGGGTCCTTGTTTGCTGCATGCCTTGCTTGATTGGGTGTCTGTGCAGGCGCGTGGCAGAGCTCCTTCAGAAGGCCGGAGAGAGCAATATGGGCGCGGCACTGCGCGACTTGGCCCTTGCGCATCTTCACGGCAATGGAGTGCCTCATGATGTAGGAAAAGCTGTCGATCTTCTTCACAAGGTACAGACTGCTACTGCGATTGCCCGCTCCTCCTCCTCCATCCGATACACATTCTGCTAAGACTGTGCTCGTGCAAACGAGAACCACATACCGATGAGCATTGCTGTAACAGCACCAGGATTCAGCGATAATGATGTTTCCTTTTGTTGCTCCCGGCGAAGCAGCACCATCCTCTCTCTCGTTCACACACACACATGCCCCCCTGGCTTTGTGTGCTGCCGTCAGGCCGCTGCAGCAGGTGATGCTGACGCGCAAAACTATATTGGGTACTTTTACTGGGTTGGGACCGAGGAGGGGCTTGACGGGAGCAGTAGCAGCAGCAGTGGTCAGAGTGGGGGTGGTGGTTCTGTGCTTAAAAAAGATCCTGTGAAGGCGGAGGAATACTTCTCCATGGCAGCACTACAGGAACACCCTGAGGCCTTTTATTTCCTGGGCGAGATCAAGCAACACCAGGCGAATGAAGTGAAGGATGAGAAGGAGAAAAGCACTGTAGGGCGACGGAGCACTCCGTGTGCCTTGCGTTGCATCTGCCTGCATGTCGGGATGTCATGTGTTTTTCTGTAGACGATATCTGTGCATCTCCCCTTCAGGCCTTGTGTTTGCGTCCACCTTCCTCTGAGATCCTTTGATTCACGCTGAGCTCCCTGTTTCCGTCTTCTGCCCCCCCGTGCATGCTGAATGCTTTTGTGCATCCTCGTGTATGCTTGCTTCGGCCCGCGGCTTGCACATCCTCTCGGGCCTCACTTCATGCTGCGAGCCTTTATGCTCACGTGCGCCTCCTGTCTACATGTGCCTCATGCTTTCGCGGTCAGGAATCCTCTTAATCTTTCGCGGCTTTTGCCAGCCTTTCTGTTGAAAGAGATGCATGTATTTTTGCTGCTCCGCGGTTGCTTCTTTTCTGGCAGTGGACATCATCGGGTTTCTCCGAGGCGCTGTGTGGGTGGGTGGCTGCGTATGCAGCTCTTGACGGAAGCCATCCGCCACTACGGGCGGGCAGCGGAGGGTGGATATCATTTGGCGTGGCTCCGAGAGGCCGAAGCACTCGAGGCACAGGCAAACAAGCTGCAGGATTTGCCAGATGGCAAGCGCGCCTGCGAAGCTGCTGCTCTTGTAAGTCCTTGGAGGCGAAGGACCAGGGTTGGGGTTTCTTTCGCCTACCAGGTTAGGTTCCTGCCGTTGCGGAGTGGTCGCGCACACCCATCGGGCGCAAAATGTGGGGTGTGGCTGCATGATAAGGGCTGACGGACTTCGTTTTTGCTTTGTTTCTTCAAAAAGGCTTTCAAGACAGCAGGAGAATTTGGAGCAGGGGCAGATAGCATTCGACGTGGTGAGTCTCCTAGGCAGTCCCGGAAGAGGCCCTTAGGGTAGCCCAAGTGCCTCGCTCTTCAAAAGGCAGGGGTGTGTTTCTCTTGGCAAGCGATGGAGCTGCACTTGCGGGCAAACCTGCCGCCGTTGCTATTTGCCGCTGCTGTTGTGTCCGGTGGCCCGTGCAGCCCTTCAGCTCTACTATGAGAAGGATTATGATGGAGCGCTGCTCCTGAGCCTAGCAGCGGCGGAAGAGGGCATTGAGGTCGCTCAGTGGAACGCAGGCTTTCTTCTGCGATCAAAGGTTGCAACGATCCCCGGTGGTTCTGTTGGCGCTGCTCATGTTACTGCTGCAGACTCGCAGCAAAAGCAGCAGCAAACAAGCCCCCACATGCCCCCCGCGCTGCTCGAGCTAATGCCCAGCGATGGCGCAGAGCAGCAGCAAGAGCACCAGTCCCAGCAGCAGCAGGGACAACACATGAGTTTGGTGTACAGACTCTTCAACCGAGCTGCCCTGCAGGGCAACGTGCAGGCCTTGCGAGAGATTGGTTTGATGCATGCAAACGGCGAGTAAGCAAGCAAGACATCTGCCTGCCTTGTTTGGCACGACCCGAGGGCGGAGTGGGGACTGCAGAACCTCTTAGCGGGAAGTCACTGACAGAGGCAATAGTACACAGCGTTGCAAAATGCTTAGAGAAGAGGTTCCTTGACAGGTTGCATCTTTCCGTGAGTACGTTCTCCGCTTCAGGGAGGGGGCCACCAGGGACGAGGGTCTCGCTTTGCAGGTGCTGATGCGGGCACTTAGCCTTGGTGACCTTCAGTAAGTTCATATCTCCCTTGCAATGTGTTCTCTCGTTTATCTGCCGCAACGCGAATTGGGAGGCTCCCCCTCCTTCTGGCGAGCCCCAGTACTGCTTGCGTGCATCAGGAAAGAGCGAACGCTATGCCTACGGCAGGTAGTTTGCGGTGTCTCTCTTCAGGGCTATTCCTCCCTTAGCGGTAACCCTTGAGGGTCGCGCCAGAGGCCAACCAAGGTTCGCATTTCGATCCTCTCGTTGAGTGCCCACGGCGTCGCTTTTGTATGCCTCCGCTTTAGTTAAAACGGGGTTTACCTGGCTCTACATCGCTCCACCGTCTTCGGTTCGTCCAGATCTGTGTTGACCAGATGTGTGTGATGTCTGAGGCCTTTCAGACTGCTGCAGCGAGCGGAGGAGATGCTACGATATTTCCTAGAGTCCGGGGGCCCTCGTGAAACAGACGGGGCTCCCGATATCTTTGAAACTGGTAGGAGCAGTGGATGGTTTAAAGGCCTCTGGCGCTCTGCTGGCTGTCATGCAGCTCTTTGGCGAATTCGCCTCAAGAGGCGAATGCATAAGCCAAAGGTGGTTTGAGGCTTGAGATGTGTGGAGGGCCTTGCTGAGACTCCAGTTTCACCCACGTGTCTCCGGGGCATGCAGTTTGGCGAATGTGCCTTCCCATTTTGCTAGGGGCTCCCCTTTCTTGACAATTCACACAGCAGATGCCTCAAGTCAATGTGTGCATTGCCTTCGCACGGGCCATGGGGAAATCTATTCCGCTCTAACTCAAGAAGGCGTTGCGGGTCCATGGGGTAAGTGCACTATCAGGCAGCCCCAGGCCACCGCATCAGAACGCAATGAAGGGCTTATCTGTTTCTCTCGGCATGTTTCGAAAGCCCTTTACGGAAAACTGCTGTCTTTACAAGCCGGTAGCACTAGGGTTGTTGATGGTTGTTTTTCCACATTGCCAAGAGTCGGTATGCCGCTAGTGATTTCATGCGGAGTGAGGCCCCGTCCAGGGCACTAGCAGAGCAGCCACTGGCTTTATGGTGCAGCTCTTTCTTTTTATGAGACGCCTGAATTAATTCACCCTGTGAGTTTTTAAGAGAACCTCAAACCCCAATCTTATGAAAACCTCAAAACGGTATGAGGTGCTCCCCCACAAGGGCTCACTTCTCTCCTGCTCTCGCTCCCAACGGGTAACAGTATGGTAAGAGTTAATGGGCGCGAGTAGCTACACGTTCTGATTACTCGGCACTTGCACATACGGGCGTAACGCACAGGCGCATACACTCCCACCCCGCCGTATGGAATCACTGCTGTTCGCCATTAAAAGTATATAGGAACAGCAAGACTAAGCCGTCAATACATAGGAGCTCTGTGAATATCACCACTCTAGATGAAAAAACTGTTGAAGCGTGGCTTGATCGCTTGACCATTTGGAATCTGTGGTGAGGAGATGGCATAAAATAAAAACTTAGATGCTACTGGTACTCAGGTTTCATACAGATTCGCGTCACTCAGATCAAGACAGCTGTGTGTAAAGTTATCATTCGAAGAGTCTGATTAGCTGGAGTAGCCTCGAATGCCCGTTCAACAGAGTACCGCAAAGCGGGAATTACACGATATGAGCACCCGGTGGAGCCCTCGGCCGGAATTCCATCGAGTGCAAGCCCCCTAAATACTGTGTTTTTCAAGGCTACAGTATGGGAACATTTCTTACTTCAAATAACCGTCGTGCTCCTATTGCATGCAACGAAGGGGACAACACCATAGTATTGTGAGTGGGGCGGCTGCAGCTGGGGCTGAGGAATCTGAGACTGCGACTTGCAGATGCTGCCGAGAGACCCACGTTTGGCTTTTGGTCTTCACCACTGAGAATTTCGCTTCTTCTTTCGCTTATTTTCCTTCCATCAAACGAACACGAGGGAAAATGGCGTTCAAAAAGGTGCGCACAGTCTGTAGAAGGATGCGGAGGGTCTGGGAACGCCCCATTTGCCGATGTTCCTCCCTCACTGATCCCTTGTTTTAATGCCAGCCAAACTCCCGATATAAATATCCTTTTTTGTAATGAGTTTGTGGTGGTAGAGCCCCGTGACACGGTCCTGCCTTGGATGCGTCTACTTCTCCCTCACATGAGCCCACATGTGATATGGGGAGGCGCTGCTGTGTTTCTCCTCGCCCCTGCGGCCTCGCAAGCAACCTCTATGCGTTCAATATTTACGAAACGTTGTTTTTGCTTTTCTAGTGCCATACGTTTCGTGGATTGCCTGTTTCTGTGTCCGTTTTCCTTGCTGGAAAATCACCTCGACCGGGGAGCCGTGGGGCGGAGACGTCGTTGCAGTCAGCCAGCAGGGGAATGCTTTGACAATGAAAAATCTGCATTCCATGTTATGCAGCTCTTGGGCTTATCGAGAGTGGCTTGCCGGCAGTTCACCGTAGCGGAGCCGCACGGCGGCTAATCTTGAAGCGGTGCATGCGGCAAATCAAAGGCGCTTTGCATGGCAACTATAAATTTCAGCGCGTGTTAGGTTTTCGTACATCGCATACTTTGCCATGTTGCGCTGGAGCGCGTGTTTTGTTGTCTTCCGCCATGTAGCATTCGTGCGTGCTGGTTCTGTATCTCCCATTATTGCAGGTGGTTCTGATCAACTGCCAGGGCCACCTCCTGGGCCGTCTGGCCTCTGTGGTCGCCAAGGAGATCCTTAACGGCCAGCGCGTCGTGTGCGTGAAGTGCGAGAACATCAACATTTCTGGTAAGACCCTGCACACTCCCGCTGGAATTGATGGATCTACGCCAAGATGGAGCTGTAGTGCACAGCAATCTAGTCGTGCCCGCTCGCATCCCGCAAAAATGCAGTCAAGGGGCATGCGTATGCACATGTTGGTTACAGGCTCTCTACACCGCAACAGGCTCAAGTATCAGGCCTTCCTGCGCCTGAGGGTGAACTCCAACCCCAAGAGAGGACCTTTCCACTTGCGCGCCCCATCTCGCATTTTCTGGCGCGCCGTCCGCGGCATGATCCGTCACAAGACCATCCGTGGAAAGAAGGCGCTTTCCCGCCTAGAGGTTCGCCTTTTCACCTTGGGCTGTGTGTTCAACGCGATCGAAATGGAGGGCTGGGTATGGGCGGATGGCTGTGCAGGCGAGCTGCATGCGCGAAGGTGCAAATGCTCATCACATTCTGCGAGTGCGCTCTTCTTTTAGGTCTATGAGGGGGTGCCCGTCAAGTACGAGAGGAAGAAGAAGCTTGTAGTGCCACAGGCCCTCCGCGCCGTGCGTCTTCGCCCCGGTCGGAACTTTTGCCGCCTTGGGGAGCTCAGCGCGTCGGTAAGCAGCGTTGGTCGCCGTTTCTGTGTTTTTTCTGGTAGTGGGCATTGAATTTGTTTAGCTCTACGTTTCCCATCAAGCACTTCCATTGATGGGCGTAGTCTAACCGGCAGGCCACCGATGCTGGGATTTATGTCGCAGGTTGGCTGGTCCAAAAGCAGCCTGATCTCCCGCCTTGAAGATCAGCGCAAGGCCAGATCTGCAAAGTTCTTCAAGCGCCAGCAGACCGAGGCCAAGGCCCGCGTTGCGGCCTCCAAGGAAGTCATGAACTCCATGCCTAAGGAAAGCGTTGCGCTATTGCAAGAGTGTGGATACGCATGAACAAATACCGCTTCGGATGTGCGGCGACACACCAGGGTCCTCTCCAGCGCATCTTTTGGATTGGCGCTGCGCAGAAACCCCTCTAATTCTCGTTAATGCCTCTAGCGTATGGCAAGCCTGTGCCGCTTTACGCAGTGGCCAGAGGGCACACTGGTCTTGAAGACGTAGAAACGGACGATAGTGTTTTCTACTTCCCAATTAGATCAGTGTTTCAGATTACGAAACATTTAGCCCGTGGTGGGTAGTATCACGTTAACGGGGCGGTTGGCTCGATAGGTTTGCAAAGACATCGTTGCATCTTGCTAGTTTACATCAGCCACGATTCCCGTCACTTGGGCTCCTCATACCCCGTCTCAACTGCCACTTGACGGGTCCGCACTGGGTAGTGCTGTCGCTGAGGTCAATGTAGAACACAGTATGCTCACAACCGAAAAAGGTGTGATAGGGTTGGTGGCTTTGAAGGTATTGGTTCTGAAGCTCTCAAAGGCAGCTAGGAGCGTTGCTTGTGACAAGCAAGAAAATATTCTAGTTTCTTTACTCTACGTGGTGCGCTTGGGTGCCTTGAGTGTTCCCGCTTGGCATCCCAACGGCTAAGAAGCTGATGGTCCGTCTGCTCCCGATAGCATGGATTCTCCGCTGCTCTCCTTTCGGATATTCCCATTGCCGTATTTAAGAATATTATTCTCTCGTTGGTGCGTGCTCTGCCGGGTCTTGCTCATTTATACAGCTTAAAAACTTGTCTGGCCATTTCTACGACTTTAGGTAGGCACCGACCGAGTTCGCTCAGGGCAGGATGACAAAGCTACTACCCCGTCTACTAGGATACCAGGGGTCAGAACGCATTTAGAGTCCAGCTTATAGGAAGGGCCACCTAGAGCATTGTTAGGCATATCCAGTGGATTAATTTCTCCAGGGGGCTCGGGCACGGAAAACTCATCTATTACTCGACATTCTTTCGCAAAGTGGACCACTCCCCCCGTGACGCACAATGAGGCTGCGAATACTGCAACCATGTTGGCAATTTTTAGCAAGGAATGTGCAACTTCACCCCAGCGCCTGCTGCAGAAGCCGCCTTTTGCTATCAGTACCTGCGATGTGCTTCAGCAAGCAATTGCAGTAGAGAGCCAGGAGCAGTGCATTCTTCGCCTAAGCCGGTCTCACGAAGTGCACAAAGGTGCAACGGCAAGAGCGGCAGGCGCTGAGCCAGGTTGAGGCTTTTGGCACGGAGCAGTCTTCCCCCTAGGCAATAATCTCATGGATTTGTCTTTTTAATCAACCTTGATCACGTAGCTTTTTACTATGAAGTCTCGAAAGGGTTGCGAGTAGTAGTAAGGTTGTAGTTACAAGCGTATTTCTGGGTGAACTCTTTTTCTGCTGTGTCTCATGGTGCTGCTGACAGCCTCGATCTCGTGAGCTTATGCTTTTCGGCCATGAACGTTCTTTTGAGGCTGACTATTGTATCAGTTTATGCAGTCCTAGGAAGCGATAGCACCAGCTACGAGCCGGAGCAGCAACAACAGCATTCTTTCCTCTCTACAGTGTCTTGTCAGGGCGCCAAAGAATACTATATTGAAGGGAAGAGATGCACAACAAGTCAAAGATACCAAAACACTTGTCTCTGGCGGCATGCTTAGTTTTAATGGCTGCTGCTCACTCGGGCTGAGGGCCCTATTCCAACGGTGTAACCAACAATGCTGCATATTTTGCGACCTTGGGGAGTATCACGACCACCCACTGCATTTTCTGTACTGCTGCAGATCGAAAGTTACGCCGTGCATTTTCAAGTGCTTTTTCCCGCTTTGTAAGTTGTGCCAAACTATGTCAAGGTGCGTGTGTCTCCTTTCCCCTTCCTCTATCAGCTTCTAACCCCTCTGACGGTCCACTGTGTATAGCTTCATGCTCGCCACGTGTCTGATTTGGCCCGTTTGTATCCCCCTGCTTTTTGGTGTGCATCTGCTATGGAATCCGACCAAACCTCCCTTACCATCAGCACTCCTAGTGTGAAAGCAAGCTCCTATGCTATTGCACCCTAACTTGCGGGAAAGCCATTCGACCGTACGACGGATGGTTTGGCAAACTTCTGGTGACCTACGGTTCCAGACTCTTCACTATGGTTGGCAGGTCAGCCGAAGCCGTCGGACCAGGCTGGGTGCGTTTTTAAACCTGCTTCTTGCTTCGTAGTCAACGCTGATGCGGTGCTTTAGAGAGATTTCTCCGGCGTCTAGCTGTGATTAGGCCGTGGTGCAACAAGCTTATGGCACTGCTTCTACCGTTCCTACTTTTGATGCGATCATGGAGGGAGTAACAATAAATAACGTGGTTGATACAGCAATCTTACAGGTTTCACGAAGAAACTTTTGCTTTATTGCTAGAATCAGCGGCGTCGCAAAGCTCCCAATAGCAATTTGCAAGATAATAATCATCTCGCTTTTTCACTAGGCAGTCAAGCAGGTGTTGGCCTGTTCTGTGTATACTGGTAAGTTCCTTCATAAGGAAACTGCATTTACAACGAGAAACCTCAGCCCCTTGTATATGGATTCCCTGAAGAATCTATTATTAGTACAGCATGACTTGATACCCCATCTTCCCAGTGCCCCGGCCTCAGGCACCTCGCCATCGTCATTGTATAGTCAGAGCACTAAACTAACCGCTTGGTTGCACGTTGCATGGCCCCTCCTACAGATTTCTTTACTTGCTTACAGACACCACAAGAGGGAATGAAATTTAACTCTGTAAAAAGTTATCATTTTATTTATCGTGCGCAATGCCACCACAACGAAGCCCGTTCTTTCACAAACTGCCTGCCTCATCTTAGTCGCAACCTTCAGCGTAACCAGTACCCAGGTCGCGTTCCATGTGGAGTGTCCGCACCCTCTTTCTCTACCAATCAAAGGTGGTTGAGCGACGTCGACATTGCCAGCAAATGATATTCCGTGGGCTTGGGTAGTACGTGGTTCCTAATCCTGCTGGAGAGTCGTTTCGAGTAGACTGACCAGGCAACAATGACAAAACACGTTTACGGTTGCGAATGCATAATGCTTCCGGTAGCTCAGTAGCCTATTTGCTCGGAAAGCCTTTAATTTGGAAAGCATCATGCAGTTCAAAGGAGTGCAGTTCAAAAGGGCCGCGATAGGCAGTATGCATCATTTTTTGATGGAGGTGTTTCGTGCACCAGCACTATAATCGTGCACTGCAACCTTTGGCGTCATTAAACCAAAGGGAAGCTCTACTTCGTGGATGACTGAAACACATAAAATCTCGCCAAACAATGGCAAGGATAGCCTTATGTTGACACTAGGTGCCTTTAAGCGCCACAATCTCGGACACCTGGACAAGCAAGTAGCTGCAACAACCGTAAAACGATACATTCGAGCGCCTGCGGCCCCGTAATCAACAATTTTTTCGCTCTTCAGCAGCGCATCACAAGCATATAGTTTTTGCTGGCGAGGGAAAAGAATGATCATTTTCGTAATTTGAGCATACTATGGGCATCTGATTGGTCTCATTACCAGTAGGACATGCGAAACGCTACAGCCAAGATTTTTGTGAGAAGGCACTAAACTCGTAACAATACACATCTAATAAGAAGCTATTGAGTTTCTCGTGAAGACTCAATAGCTTCTTATTAGATTTGTGATAATCTCAACACGTAGGGAGAGGGACAGCTCGGATGCGACTAGCTGCACCCCCTGAAAATTCCTCGCATTTGCAGCTAGTGGCAAACAGCAGGCAGTGCAGAGGCATAGAACGTTGTGTCCCTTCGTATGGCCCTAAAAGTGCTCAGCAATGAAAAGCACATACTAGCAGACTGACCTATCGGTCGGCGCTTCCCAGTTGTAAGCTAACATAACCAGTACAAGAGAAAGTGCCTAACCGAATTTTGGCGTGCTACAGATGTATTCTCTGTGGCACTTTCAGTTACCCAAGCCCGAAGCTCACTAGAGCGTCACCGAGGTCTCCAATGAGTTCCCAACTACTAAAGACGGATACAGAGACGTTCAATCACTATATGTAGGTTGATCTTGGAATCGTGCTGGCCTTATAGCAGCAAGATGTATGCTGCATGATGGAGTGATAAAATGTGCAGTTAGCGAGCTCTGCTGCACGTTGCGTGAGTTCAACAGGCAAGGCAGAGGATTTAGCTGAGAGGCACAACGAAACACTTCCGAATCGTGCATGGCAGAGAGAAGAAACATGCGCGTTTACATGTACAGCAACATACGACTCCTCTAACTTGTATCTGGCATTGGCTACGAACTAATGGTTAATCATGTACACGTCAAAAACCTGCCCCTCCCTGATTCTAGGAGGCCACTACCCTCACAACGGTCCCGAAAGTCTTTTCAATACGCCATATGAAGCTTGCGAAAATAGCACTCCTTGCCTGCGTGGCATGCGGAGCCCACGATATTGAGGGGAGTGGGGACCTCAACCCTCGAAACATTTGCACAGCCCAGATATTCAACACAAACTCGGAAGTGGCAGCAGCAACCCACGATATCTGCAGCAGCAGACGCTGCGACGGCCTTCCGAGCGCTAGAGCCCGCAGGAGCAGCTGTGCTTCAGGAGTACCAGCAGCGAACGCAACCTTTGCAGCTAGCGCCTGCCCCTGCCTCTCCCTCTACCCCTGCCGCTTTTGCTGCTGCCCATAGCAAAGACATTTCCTGCTGTAGCATTCACAGGCTTTGCTGCCGCAGCAGACCCGAATCCAGGGATGAGTCCTCCAGCAAGGCACTCGGGCTGCTGTATCTGCATCGGCCCGCCGAAACCACACCCAGTACCAGGGAGCGGCAGGGCAGTCTGTTGCCGTTGCTGCATTTGCTGCATTGAGGATGTCGGCTGAAGTTGCTGTTGTTGCTGCTGTAGTTGCAGCTGTGGTTGCTGCTGTAGTTGCAGCTGTGGTTGCTGTTGTTGCTGCAGCTGTGGTTGCTGCGGCTGCTGCTGCTGCTGCAGGGGATTCTTCTTTCTGAGGATGCGCAGTATGGGCCTCCCGGCTTTTGGCATTCCGGTTCCTTCCATTGGCTCCGTTGTAGAATTCCCTGCGGCAGGAGTAGGGGCAGCACCAGCAGTAGGCACCATGGGGAGGGTAAGCAGCGGCCGCGGTGCAGCAGGTTCTGGTGCTTTTACGGTCGAATCGAATGCGCCCACTGGTGGTGCATGTGTGAAGAGCTTCTGTGGTGGTTGTTGCTGCTGCTGAGACTGCTTTGGATCCAGCGGCTGCTGCGATGCCACACTCGTGCACTGCTGCTGCTCTTGCTGCAATTTCTTTTCCTCTTGCCGTAATTTTTCTTGCTGATGCTGCTTCTGCTGCTCTTGTTCAAGCTTCTCTCGCTCTTTCTGTAGTTTCTCTTGTTGCTGTTGCAGCAGCCGTTGTTGTGCCTCTTGTTCCCTGCGTCTGCGCTCTTCCTCCTCCCTGAGCTTGCGCAGCCTTTCTGCCTCTAGCAGCTGCTGCTGCCTCTCCTTCTCGCGTTTCTCCTCCAGCAGCCGCTGCTCCTCCTGCTGCCGCTGCCGCAAGGCCCTGGTCTCTTCTATGGACAAGGCAGGGACCCCCAGAGAAGCCAGAACTTCATCCGTCTCCGCTTCTGGCTGCATAAGGAGACGGCGTGCGGCAGCGCCAGTGAGAATTCCCCCAGCATAGCTGCGTCTGCGTTGTCTCTTTGCTGGAGTTAGTTCCGATTGGCTGGCGGCAGCCCTTGCTGCTGCCTCGGCAGTCGTTTCCCCGAGCGTTCCAGCGGAAGCGGCAGTCTGCGAAGCGCACACATCCTGAGTGCACCTGCGCCGCTTGCGGGTCGATCCAGGAGATGGCGACTCCAAGAAAGCAGCAGCAGCAGCAGCGGCTGCTGCTGCTGCTTCCCGCACTGCCTGATCCGGTGTAGAGGTGGCAGCTTCAAACGCTCCAGCAGTTGTGTGTGCAACTCTTCCTTCTCCGCAAGGCGAGTTCCCGCTATCAGGTCCTTTCGCGGCAAAGCTAGAACCAGACTCGGTGGTTCGTTCTTGGGAGTTGTCGGTGCTGCCTCCGCAGCCCTTGCTCTCCATGCTGCTCCTGCTACCCTCTGCAGAAGCACCCTTTGACCCGCCTGCTAGCTGTGCAGATAGCTCTGGAGCCGCCTCGGCTGCTTGCTGCCGCGGTGATTCTTCCGACTGCCGCTGAAGATCCTGAGAGGGCAGCACCGGCGCACTCGAGCGGCCCGTCAATGGAAACACGAGGCCCAAGGAAGATCTGCGTCGTCTGGACTGCTGCAGCGGCAGACAGAGAGGCGACACTGCCAACGCCAACGCCGGCAGGGGCAGCCCTCTGCTTCTGCTGCTGCTCCTGCTGGGGCACGCCTGTGCGTCCAAGGATTCCCAAACAACGCACGGCATTTCTTCGTCGGCTCTGGACCCTTCGCGCGCGTGTGCACCTTGAGCAGGAGGAGGAAGCCCATTGGCATCGGCGTCCGTGAGTGTTGCATCTGCCTCGGACGCTGCTTCACCCTTTCTATGAGGCCGCAAAGGTGAAGAATGCGGAGTTACAAAGAGCTCAGCATCGTTGTTTTGCATGCCCGGCGCAAGGCCCCCTGCGGTTGCCTGACTCGCGAAGACGCTTTCAGCTGGACCGCCAACCCGTCTCCGCTTGGAAGCACTCGTCTCTTCCGTTGCCGCTGCTTCTGCTGCTGCGCATTCGGCATGAAGAGGGGAGGATTGCACAGGGGTGCAACGCCACTGCAGCGAACCGGTCGCGCTTGTAGAGCGGCGCCGCATACGCGGTCGGTCTGCTGCCGATGCTGCTGCTGCTGCCACCATCACCGCTGTAGAGGGAGACGAAAAAACCGTGCCTTGTGAACAAGACCCTCCATCAAAGGTCTTACAGAGAGGCGCGCGACTTCTGCAGCGCAGCAGCAGCTGCAGCTGCTGCTTCTGCTTCTGCGTGTGTACTACTGACCCATACATGCTCGCCTGCTGCGATAAGCTGCTTTCCTCACGGCACTGAGAGAGCGTTCTGTAAGAGGAGCTCCCCGCTGCCAACGCGCCAGCTGCCCCTCTGTCGGGCTGGCTGTGCGCGCGGAGGGTGAGTGGAGGAGGCGTCTGCTGCGGTTGCAGCAGGATCGGCGGAGGCCCTCCATACGCATCTCTAGAAGAGCAACACGACCAGGAGCTCTTACGATGGAGCGGCGAAAAGACTTCGCCCGCAATCGTTTTTGCCACGCGTGCTGGCGTCGGGAGGACTGCCGCCGAGGCTGCCGGCTGAGAGTGAGACAGGGAAAGGCGGGAAGACTGCCTTGCAGCAGGCTGCGGCAGCACAGGCGAGTCAGCAGAGCTTGGTGCCAGGACCCCCCCTTTGGAGAGTCTCCAAGGAGCGACTCGCGTTGAAGAGGGGGGGGTTCCCTTGTAATATAAACTTCCAAACTGCCACGGCTCTGCAGATGCAACAGGAGGCAGTGAGTCCTGCTGTGACGGAGGAGACTGCAAGGGCCATGTCGCTAGTGCTGCTCCTAAACGGCCCACCTCATCGGAGTCAAGGGCTGAGAGACTCAAGGTGACATCTGTAGGAGGCGCATTAGACCGAGGAATAGAGGCAGCAGCGATGGTTGTTAGGGCGCCTCCCTCAGAGGGCTTTTGTGAGCCCTCCTGCTGTGTCGGCCTCTGCTCGAGCGGCTGCCGAGACCTCTGAGTCGCTGTTTGCGGCTCTTTGTCTGCAAATATGCGTCTTAAGGATTGCTGCAAACGTCTGACGAGCTGCAGAGGCCCTCTGGAGGCATGCGAACTCCCCGGCTTGTGCTGATGCTCCGGAGCTTGCGATCTCGCGGGGCCCTTTTCTGTGCCTTTAGAGCCCAGAAAGCCTCTGGAAGAAGAATCATGAGAGACGTTCTCCTTATCGTGCCACTTGTCAGTGTCATCCGCCCCCTGCATCTTCAGATGTGTGGCTTTGAATGTTGATGGGCCCCCAGTTTGCTGCCTGAGGGCCCCTAGCAGAAGGACTTTTCGTCCTAGCACAGCCGGCACATCTGCGTTGCACACAGCTTGCGTAAGGCCTCTCCTACTCTAGATGCTTGCTCAACACCAGGGGCCGTCCCCTAGGAAGGGAGGATGGTAAAGCTGCCCCCTCAGTGGAATACACCGAAGTCAGGCGGAGCGCAAGAGGAGCCCTCTAAGGAGGCTGCTCACCCTGCCCATGCGGTCGTTCCTCCCCTTTGTAGGCTGCAAAGCGGACGCGTGGTCGTGCCAGAGTGTGTGGCTGCGTCTTCGCAGCATGCGGCCACTCCAAGGCTTTGTGATCGATGCTCTCTTTGCTCTTCTCGCAACGATCTGTGAACACGCAAATGGCATAAAGCGCATGGAGCAACGGGGTTCTAGGGAGGCTGCAAAGCAGAAAATTGGATGGCGCAGGAACGCACGTGTGCAGCGCATCCCCAAGAAATGAGCCACCCGGGGAGCTGGGGCTGCAAGTGCACGGGGGAAGATGGCCGTTTATAGCGTCAGTTTCTCTATTTAAAAACAAACAAACGTTTAAATTTTCCTATTATATGTACAAAGACCTTATTATTTCATTCTCTGCTGGTAGAGTTAACTGCTTTCACCGCATTCTGTGTCTCCTCGGCACCCCCGAACGGCAGTAACCACCTCCTGACCTGGGTGTAAGAGAGGAATGCCTTCTTCACCTCGAAAGTAAAGATAGGCCTAGAGTAGCTCAAATCTTTCTTTTAGGAGCAGGCCTACATGCTTGAAGATTTTGCCGAAGCAAGCTCAGTTATCCATATGGTAAGACCACAATCCGACACCAGGGAGGGTTGAGCTAGGACTCAAGGAAATGAATTCCTACAAGCTGATTTTCTTTCTCCTGCTGTGGATTTCAGATGCTGATCCGGCTGCCTTCTAGTTAACCCCATATGCAGCCTGTTTAGTGGAGCCGCAGTGCATGGCTATAGCAATTGACGGCACGACTGACCAGAGATGCTGCCCACTGCAGTTTTTCACTCCTTGGTGCGCTTGGACAGGTTCTCCTGTAGTAGTCCTAGCAACCACGATTAAGTTGAGTACCGACTGCTTAATTTGGCTCCTGTAGCATTCAATTGGCCGCAGAGATGGATTCACTCCACACTGTAGCAGTAGACGCTGCCTGCCTGGGGGGAGGCTACCGTGGGCAACAACGCCCAAATGCCTCACCACTTAGAGGTTTTGTAACTAGTCAAAGAGTCGCAGTGCTCCCTTTCATTGGACAGGGGGAATGGGATGATCAAAGCAGTTGCGGAAGCTACTGTGTTGTAGCGCTCCTTAAAGGGTAGTGCAAGTACAAGAGGAGTTGAAAGACGACCAAAAAGCGTCCTTTATACAGCTTCAGTCCCTCCTGTCCAGGTCATAGAGCGTTGTTTTAGGACAATATCTCAAGGAGAACTTATCCGAGTAAAATTTGATGACGAAATTTGGGTAGTCATACGAGCTCATGCAGCCTTTTAAAGTTTATACAGATGTGTCAAGGTAAAGGCCACGCCTCGATTTTTGTCCCGTTTTGGCTCAATCCATGCAGCAAAAACACTGAAACCCACGAAAAAGCAACTGTTCTAGTGAAAACGAACACTTGTTCGCCGTCATACCACCACCACTCACCCAGCAACAGCTTCTGCACATGCCGTCGGTGCTCTCGAACGTTTTGAATGCACATTAAGACGTCGTCTTTGTTGACAGACAATCGCCCCTCCTATAGGGGCACACCAAAATCCTGACTTACTTGCCGTTGCAGTTCAGCTGAGGCATTAACGATTCCAAGCGGCGAGCAGGTATACTCGAGTTTGCGAGAGCCACCGGCACGCTTGTGTGCCTTTTACCAGGGTAAATGGAGATTTGTGTGAACGCCTATGTGAAGTCACCTGCGCATAGTTTGTCAAGTTATCCATCAATAGGAAGAATGTGTAACATCTGCTTTGCAGCATGTACGCCACCTTGCAATTTTTGCAGCATCACCACTGAGCTATGTTCCAAAGCACGGATAGAGTCCTGCACTTGGCCTTTTTCCAACAAATCGTTTTTCCTGTTGCTCAATCTCTTATTCATGCTGTAAGGGCTTTCGATAACGCGGAGCACAGCGTGGAGCTGACACGTGGATCTGCTCTCCACCATGTGGCGGACAACCAACAGATGGGCAGCCTGCTGGTAGGTCGTTAATATGGAGCCCACCCGTGAGGTCCCCCCTTATATTTACTCATTGCTGTTGTTCATTAACATAATGTCTACTGAAATTTTCTGATAATGAACCCTTTCCAGAGCTACTGAGACGGGATGCGTACACAGAATTGTCTTTCACTCTGCTGGGCAAAACTCCCCGCAAGATTGTGCTTCGCCTTGTTAAGGCACTGGCTCTATGTTGCTCAACATGAATGAAATCACCATAAGCGAGGAAACCAGGAACTAGTTTCAGCTAGCGCTTTCTGGTAGACTAACCTCAAAGGCGCAAAGCTGTGGCGGCAATCGTGAGGAGCATTCCGTCACCGGTAGGACACCTAGGCCTACGGCATGCTGCACTGGTCCACCAGAAAAGTAGCAGACCATGCCGATGGGTGCCCAGTCCTAGTCGAAGCCGCATTTTGCTGCCTTTGCCTTGCCAGTCTTTGCCTAGTGTCCCCTGTCAGCAAGTCTTAGTAGTAGGGACGCGCTATCGAGTGAAGAGGGAGGCTGTATTTCTGTGTTGTCTCCTCCCTCAACATCCAATCTCAAGTAAGGCTATTAGTTCTTGATCATTAATGTGAACCTGTATAAGTGCATAATTAACCCGTGATGCGTCCCCAATTGTGGCTCTACCCTCTGTAGCCCCCTTCAGTGCGCTCCAGCCTGCGTGATCTCTTTCTGTTTCCTGGAACCGCCTTCTTTGTTTGCTAAGCAGCCTACCTCCATCGGTCCCAGTCCCGCTATTCAAGGCTCCTAAAACTTTTCATGAGCCAGCAGCTGTGTATTATTTAATCCCCTCCTCTCAAAAATAGAAGCATGTGCGTGGTTGGGGCTTGTCTCGGGCAGTATTTTTGTTGACCTTCGACTAAGTGCTAGAGCCGCTAAACACAGCCCCATATGCAAAGACCCTAAATCCACGTTTGGATCGTTTTTTAAGCTAACAAGGCATCATTTGCGCGCGGTTGTTCCTGGAGCCTCAAGAAGTCCATCACTTGTAGAAGCTCAACTAAGTGACTCCTCTTTCTCTGCGTCGCAGCCAACTTGCGCCCACTTGATGTGGCTTCGGGTACTCTAAGATGAATCACTTATGAAGCAGGTGTTCGTCTAAGTCATTTTGCACGTCAAAGTTCCGCATCTCTCCAATAGGCGATGTATTGATAGATTTCTGTAATTCAGCTAACTTAATTCCGCCAAAGCTTGCTGTTGAGCTTATCTCGGCATCAAGCGAAATGTCAGTGCTTGCGCGAAGGCCTAAAGTTTAGTAATCCCTGCATGCACACCACCTCCTCTGCATCACTAGAGTCACCACTGAAGAGCTCATGTCGCTTAATATGCCATACGAAGCTCTCATTTCCTTACATCTACGGTATACAAGGCGCAATAAACATTTTCCGATTGTCTACGAAATTTTCGAGTACTCGCTCATCCTTAGGGCATCAGTCTGGTGGTCGGCACAATCTTATCAACCGATCCATAAACATTTTCTGAGATGACAAAAGACGCTCTTCTACCAGCTGTAAAGCGGCTGCGTTCATATCAGCCTGTGGGCCGGCTTTGCTACCCCCACAGGCGTTGTGCCATCCTATACGTCCATCATGAATGTTTTTTTCAGGATAATGTGCGAAACAATCAGCCTAGTGAGCTACTAGCTAATTTTGTTGAAACCAGACGGCTGTTTTAGGGGAACTTGCCTTCCCACTGCTTCCACAGCCAGTGTACAGGCAGGGAACAGCTGCATAAAACAACATGCGGTGCTACCAAATGTCACGCTTTATCTGTCCCAGTAAAGGGTCACGTAGCCCTAGGCTCAATAGCTTTGCATTAGGTTGTCAGTGAGTCTGAAGCTAAGCAACTTACTACGGAGACGTCAGATGGAGCGTGCAAAAGGGCAATTAGGTGGGGCAGCTCTGCCGCAGTACAAGCGGTGCTCTCCAAAGAACTGAAAAGCTATCACTAATTAAGGGTTTCCGAATCGCGAAAGGCACTTGACAAAACACTATGCGATATGTCTGCATTACGAGCAGCGCGCTGAGCCGCTCTGTTTGGCTCCGGTGTGCGGCAGGTGGGTTCCTAGGGGGATATAAGCACAAGGCAGCACAAGATAAAGGCCATGAGGCCCCAGCTATGTGACTCCTCGCCTCAAGGCACACCGAGACCGTAGAGCAGTCCTGGAAGGCGCTTCTTTCCAACAAGACGTGCCCGCATTACGGGCTTAGTCGTTTCCTTGAGTACGCCGTGAAATTTAGGCGTGCGCCAATGCGCGTTCTCTCCACTACTTCTCTGTGGAAGCTCCTGGATGCTTCTGCCTAGAGCCTAGCCTTAATCCAGCGCTGACACTGAAGTTAGATGCGATTTCTAAATGTGAAGCTCAGGATTCAGCTGATTTACGAGGTGCTTAAACGGCGTGGCCCCGCTAGTGGGGCCGTTTCGCCGCCATATCTCATGTGCCCCAGAAGCATATTCAGAAAGGGTGGCGCCTGCAGTGCTGCTGAAGAATGAGGTAAATGAGTTATAAGGGATTGCATGCATTGGGAGTAAGGGATAGAAAAGGCAGTCTCATTGGCTGTTCCTTTTTTAGGCAAGTCCTGGAGGCGGCGATTCGCCCTCGGAATAATGCGCCATTCCTTGGTCTGTAGTGCCTTGGCTGGCTATCTGACTAGTGCCGCTGCTATTCGCGCCTTCTCGTCGCTTCTGCTCGTGCTGGGGCTTAGCTGCCCTCCTGTCAGGTGGTGTTTCGTGGGTTGCTGCCG